GATGTATTTTAATTTCCTTAAAGTTGCAATGTACTTTGTAGTGTTTGTTAGTATATGTTCGATGTGAGAGTTCCATGTGCCGTTGTTACTAATAATGACTCCTAGGTGTTTGTGGTTTTTAACAATAGGGATAGGTGTGTTGTCGAAAAGAAATTGTGGGTTAGAAGGTATATTTGTGTTGGAAATTAAGAGAATTTCGGTTTTATTTGGGTTGAAATTCATTAACCATTTATTTGACCAAAGGTTTAATTGTTCCATGTCGTAGTTTATAACTTGTTTTATATCGTGTAAATTTTTCGAAGAGTGTGCTAATGCGGTGTCGTCAGCAAAAAGTCTAGTCATTGATAGTAATGTATTTGAAATATCGTTGATGTATACAAGAAAAAGAAGTGGCCCTAACACTGAACCTTGAGGAACTCCGGCTTTGATAGATACTTCAGAAGATATAGCATTTTTTAGTACCACTGACTGGCGTCTGTTACTTAAGTAGTTTTTAATCCAATCTAAAAGTTTGCCTTTTATCCCGTATTTTTTTAATTTAATTAATAGACCTTTGTGCCAGACTCGGTCAAAAGCTTTAGAAAAGTCACAAAAAACCCATTCAATTCATATAGTGACGTTACGGTGAACAACAATATGAAAAGTTACAACACTTTTTGTAAATTTATTATTTTTATTTCAAGGAACTCTTTTTCTGTTTTGCCCCTAACAATTTGTCTACATTTCTCCTATGATGCATCCCCATAACGGCAGTGTGTAGCTGACAAAAAGTTGCAATGTTACAGCATTTATGGGTAATTGATTTTCTTATAAAGCTTGAAAACCCGGGGATATTACTGTTTTTTTCCAGAACCTTATCAGCTCAAGTAAGCAGATTTTAACAATTTCAGAACAAATACATTATATTAATAAAACATCATTTGCAAAAGATGAAATGGTGTATGGTTTACAGTTATAAATACATACACATTCTAAAATGTCCCCCTTCACGCGACGAGTGATTGTATTTGGTATGCCATATTTCTGTGACGTTGAATTCTCTATAAGAGCGTCGCCCTCCAGACGTGACTTAGTCTGAAATGAAATTAATGCCAGTTTAAAGCTAATAGGTAACTACTTAATTCAATACTATGTTTCAAACATTAAGATCTTCCAATCAACATTATTTTCTGTTTTCCAACGAGTAAATGATACCGAAAGTGTGAGCTTTAGAAAGATAAATATAAAAAACTGTTTACTCGAACCTATTTTTTTGAAATCCGTTTATATAAGAAATTGTTATGTTTTTTTAATTAGACAAACCTTTAATGGTACTCCGTCTAGGCCTATCCCCTCAATTTCTTCTCCGAGTTTGTAAACATATTTTCTGACTCCTAATCCTTCTACCCCGGCCAGTGCAGTCCAAGTGTCCCCGTCTAACTGGTATTCCAGTGTTCCCGCCCTTTCTTTGAATACTTTGCGGGCCATTGGATCAAGTTCTGAAGAAAAATGCATTTTTATTATTGAGGGAACTCGGAAACATGTTGTCTTGTTCCAATATTGTTTAATACTGTAGAACAGTACTGTAAGCACTTATTTTAATGAACTCACATTTCTATATTGAGTATTGTCGCGGGTTATTTGTTTGTTTATCCTGAACCATTTACAGTAAAACCTTGTTATGATATTATGTCGACCTTCAGCCAACCTGAGAACATTTCTATAACAATAACTGTCTCAACAAGTTTCATCTATCTCAAAGCTATCGGTCTTTTTGATAAAATAGGAGTCACCGTAGCCACTTTCAGTTGCTACCTAGAGGCGAACGCTTAATAACAGTATACTGTATACATTTTAATTCATTGAATGAAATAGGGTAGCCACCTGATCATAGTTTAAGAGTAAGCATTAATATTTTAGACGATATCGCATCGCGCACAGAGGTTAAATATTTTATTGAAAGCCGCTTGTACATTGTATAATTCAATGGAATAGTCATGTACATGTATCCCTATGCAATGTGGTATGGACTATAGTTAAATTCTAATCATAATGACTATATGTGTTACGGTATATTACAGTATATAATGTTAAAGAGGACGATAGCCAATTTAACATATATTGATGTAACAGGAGAGGGAAAATGCACGGCCAGACCGGGGTTCGAACCCGGGACCCTCCGAAATTTTAGACGGACACTCTACCAATTTAGCTATATGGTCGCCGAGAATCGACCCAGTCCAGTTCCTCTACATTCCTTCCTTCTTTTGTTATAAGGCTTCGCCCGGAAGACACAACTATTCGGGTATCCCCTTGTCAAGCATACACTAAATGCTTGAAACAAAGGGCTGGTCACAGGCACCACTGTAATAGGTGAGGAAAAATGCATGGCAAGACCGGGACCCTCTGAACTCTATACGGACGCTTTACCAATTGAGCTATCTGGTCGATAGAGTTACATTTTGTAAATTAAGGACTACCAATCACAAATTTATTGTGGAAACCGACAGACGGTCGATAGAAAAAGTGCACACTGTAACAGTCAGCAAATTAGTGACGAATGTCATTACTTGCTTGAGTGTCCGTCACTGTCTGGGTATAGAATTTTATTTATAGATAAATATTTTTGGATGAGACTAAATGTAATTAAGTTCTAGGAATTAATGAATGCTATTAATATAAAAACACTGAAGAAACTTCGTACTTGTATCAGAATAATTAATAACAATATTTGTCCTCCTTGATACAAATGTGCATTTATTATGAAACAGTACTGTGTACTACCGACTATATTGTAAATACAGCATGTTTCTCTATACATTGTATTGTGAAAGAGAATAAAGTTGAATTGAATTGAATTGAATTGAATTGAATTGGTCGCCGACGATCGACCCAGTCCAGTTCCGCTACACTACTTAAAACCATTACCATCTCTTGCCACTTGGAGCCTTTTTATTTTTTCAATCTTAATCATTAAATGAAAACATAATAAGTAAGGTTGCATAATCAAAAATGAAAAATGAAAATGTAGAAATTAGATATTTACATTCAGCAAATTTTAATGTAAAATGTTGACCTCCTTAACGATGACTAGATACATAAACAGATGTACATTGTATCTTGTTCAAAGCATTACACAGAACTTGATACTATGGTTCCATCATATAGAGTTATCGAATAGTTGTATTAACAAGAAAGTGTTTATTAATTATTTGTGATTTTTTTTCAGAAAAAAACAACGGGTCCCTGTTTTAGCCAAAACTTTCACTGACGAAAATTATGTTGACAAGTTAACACAAATGACGTCATCACCAGATGAGCATTGCAATGCGCTACTTCCATTATTTGAGTCGATTGTTCTGATGGCATTTTGTTATTTACAACTCTCTTCGCCAGGAATTCAAAGGATGGTTAATGAAGGTTTTGTTTACCAAGTTGTCCGATATTCTATACGATATAGGTCAATTTGGCTTTTCATGATATTCCCGTGATTGCAAGTACGAACCCGAGTTTGTAGAATCAGCGAAACAAAAACACAAACAAAAAACCTGCAACCCTTCTCCTGACATATATATGTATCTTGTGTGATGTTTTTCTTTTACATGGACTCAAGGACGGATTTTTTTTCCACACAAATAATATAATACTTTTCTATGATAATGGTGTTGCTATTTTTACAACCTGATCGGCTCATACCGAATTTGATTAAAACCTTAATGATTATAATTTTTACTATTTGACTGTGTAAAATAAACTACATGTATTTCATATGTAACTATACGCATCGTGTAGCTTACAGCAAAATATCAAAACAAAGATGCCCGACATATATTCTTTATAACATGTACCGTCTTACTTACCACACCGCTTATCATTAGTATAAAATATATCCATGGGAAATATCAATTATGACGTCGTAATGGCTGATGACTTTGTACGCAGGTTTAATCTGTGTGTGCTGGGTTTGGTCTCGATAGTTAGAAATTGGCCAGGAACTGGCGTTATGTCATAGAAATCGTTAAAATTAAAAAAGAGAAGAAACGTTATCTGAGACCGTTTGTTTCTGTATTAAAACATATTAAAGTTATTGGAAATTGTTCTGCATCCGGTGGATCCAAAATGGCGGCTTCCATGCACGCGCGATTTTCCAAAATATGCAAGTGAATAGACTTGCTAGGCCTATGTGATGTCATGGTATATTTTGTCTTGGGTTTCTTTTACGTGTACGTGTTACCTATGAAGCTCACACAAGAGCGTTGGCTATCAAAGTTAACGTCTGTCTTTTACGGTTTCGTTTCTTTGATGATTTTTAGTTGCCGACACTGTGCCCCACTTGGTGTTATCGTAAAAGGCAACCGTTGTGGGATCATCTCAAAATCGAAAAGTGTCTCACACGTTATCTGCCAATGGAGCACTGTAGAGAATATAAGACTCTTTCATGCACAGGGGTGTAGGATAGGAAAATTTCACCCTCGGGATTTTCAAATTTGGCAACTCCCTCGGCATAGCCTCGAGTTTTACCAAATTTGAAAACCCCATCCGAATTTCCCTATCCCACACCCTTGGGCATGAAAGAGTATTTTTCTCTCATTCCAACCACCAGATCAAGCTCTGAAACTATGAAAATGCGTTTGGACTGGCCACCATTTTGAAAATATCATTTTTCCCTGGAGCGTTTTAGAGTAAAACGATTTAGCCAGCCAGATTAAGCATATCCCATATTTGCAAACTACATTAGCGCAAAAAAAAAAATCACATCTTTCTAACTTGTACGGTTAATATCTGGTAAAAGGTTTTCATTTCATCACGTGGTCTTTTCCCCATTGCGGCATCGGAGAGTTACAAATTCTTGACGACAGTCATTGTTGAGCCATTGTCACGTGAAATCACCCCTTTCCTAACCTGGACAGCTCTTGGTCAGCTTGTCACCCCCTAGGGGGAGATAGCCTCGTGCCGATTAGCACGTGTTCAATTGTGACGTCATTAAAATGCGTCATCGGTAATTGTGACGTCATCAAAAGTGAATGATTTGATTTAAACATATTTTATTTGTCATTCAACAAAAAGGATTAGGCACAAGTTATCTCAACTTAGAAACGCCCTCTCCGATACATTTCATTATATTGATTACATGACAACAACAACAAACATATTCATAATATATA